CACCAACCATTCCCATGTTATTACGGTGTATCCATATAAATGGCCCACCCTGTGCTATTTTAAACTTTGTTTCTCACTGCCATTGTTTGAATTGACATTAGGGCTTTATTTTTTTATTTTTTTATTTTTTTAAACTGTGCTTAAAATGTGACTTACTTAGGTTTACTACTTTGTTTGTATTGGCAACATTTAGGAAACCATTATGGTATATGTGGATTATAAATATAGTAAACTAGTAAAGTAAACTAGTACCACGGGCAGCAGCCAAAGCAAAGACCAAGACCTCCCTCTCACCACCCACCTCCTCCATCTTATCCAGGGGAAAACCAAGGCTTCAGAGGCCAACAGAGAGATATAATCTCTCCAGCATGTCTTGGGTCTGCCCTGGGGCATCCTCCCAGTGGGACATGCCTGGAACTAGCAAAAGCTTGTAACCATAGGTGAGGGTAGGGACGTAGATCAACCAGTAAAAATGTGTTACCATGGCAACTGAGGCTCTGTGTGGATTACCGTCTGTTGAATTCAAGGACTAGGCAGGATGCTTTTCACCTGCCTTGAATTGAGGAGTCCTTGAATGTGTTGTCCAGTGGATGCTGGTTTTTGACCTTGGACTAGTGGCTACAATCAGGGCCCTGTTGCTGAGCCGGATAACTGTACTCCTTTTGGGTTATTTGAATTTAATCGCATGCCATTTGGCTTCTGTAATGCACCAAGCACTTTCAGAGATTGATGGAGTAAATGATTTGTTCCCAGAATCACCCAGAATGTTTATTGTTGTATCTGGATGATGTAATTGTCTTTTCTGCCACAGTAGATGAGCATATCCAGTACTCAGGAGCAGTTCTGGAGACGTTGCAGATTCTAAACTTGAAAACTAAGTTGGAAAAATGCCTTGGGCATGTGATCTCCAAAGATGGGGTAGCAATTGACCCAGACAAAATATCTGCTGTGTCTAATTGGCAAAACCCCTAGCTCTGTTGCTGTGTTAAGATCATTCTTAGGGTTTGCTAGCTATTATCACCGCTTTGTCCCAAGTTTTGCCTCCCTAGCTCATTCAGAGCTTCAGGAATGAGGTTTTGCATGACTTACATAATGGGCATAGTCACCAGGGGATAGACAGAATTGAAAACTTGATACAGAAGAGATGTTATAGTCCAGGTGTGTTTAGAGGTTGAAGATCATTGTCAGCAACACTGTTCAGACTAAGGCAGTTTATTCCAGACCTAAAACAACCATGGGTCACCTCATGGCTGGGAGGCCTAATCAGATTCTAGCAATTAATTTCTAATGCCTTGAACCCTCTGTTGATGGTCATATAAATGTATTGATTCTTACTGATGTGTTCTCCAAGTTTACTCAGTCCATTGCCACTAAGGATAATTCCTATTGAAATAGGTACCTCTCCAAGGCCACATTTAGCTTTTGAAAAGCTTAGTTCAAGTTCTCATCATATTATGAGATGCTAAACACTAATAGTTTACTGTTCAGACTCTTCAGAAAGCTTCTCTTGTGCTGTTACTGTCACGGTCTGGCTAGGGCAGACCGTATGTTGCAGGGAAGGACTCAAGCGCAGACCGAAATGAGATGTGAATAACAAAACAAGCCGTTTATTAAGGCAAGAAATGAGGGTACAAAATAATAGGGAATCGATGAAAACTAAACAATGACC